CATGAACTGGAGGCTGTAAAACCCTGACGGCTGGATCCTACTTCTCTATAGTGATGTCATGGCGCTGAAGCCAGACCTGAGCATTGGGATTTTCAAAACAAAACCATTGATTATAACCTGTAGCAAAGGGGGAGGATGGCTGCCTTTCTATCTGAAGTATCATATACCTACACAAAACCTAAATGTGCAGCTGACTTAAGGCCAAGCATGGAGGAATCAGCTGTACCCTGTTCAGGAAGAGCTCCAACAGCTTGAAGCTTCCCCATGTCCACTTTCCAAGGTAACCATTTCCCTGATGCCCAAACAAAAATCAGCTCTCCCTGTTTGTAACAGGAATCATACTCCGTGTCAAGTGTCTTTGTTTTGGGAAGATATGGACTAGAAAATCTGGATTCCATGGGATCTACCTAGGAAGGTTTCTTGGAAGAAGCACTGGGGAGATCTGGAGGAGGCTAAGGCAGAGAGGCAGAGGAGAGGAGGGATGTTGGTGACAGACGGCAGTGCCGGTTGAAGATACAGGCACCCACACTGAATGCTGATGCTCCTCCCTCACGAAAACTTCCTGTTGAGCCCTAGGTGTACTCACAGTACATCCTTCCTGTCAGCTGGGTGCAGACTGGAATTCAGTCATTCCACAAGTGTTTACTGGCACTAATGCTGCACTGAACTTGGGGCGCAGAGATGACCAGGACTTAACATTTTAATTAGGAAACGCAGATATCACTTGAAGAGACACTGAGGAAGAGTGGGACAGATACTGGGACCGAGGAGGTTGCATTTGTTTTTTAAGAGGAAAACCAGCCACCGACAGGAAGACTGGGTGTGGCAGCCCTGACGGCTGCGCAGGAGGCCTCTCTGAGACAGATGTGTTCTTGCCATGTTCAGGAATCTCCCGGGCTGTCCTCAGGCCCAGCATGCGGCAGGGCCATGCACAAAGTGGCACTCCATGAGTCTGATTGCCATGGGTTGAAGCCCACTGCTGAGACAGGCAAAGTCACAATAGCTTAATCCACTGTGTGCTTGATGGGGAAATCCATAGCTTGTGAGTGGGTCCCAGAATAGATGTCCTTTCTTTTCCTTGCATGTAATACAACCCGTGAGCTTGATTCACCTGTTACCATGCCTGGCATTGTATCATCATGACCTGGGAACTTCAAAAATTTTAGATTTCCTGGCCTCACCTAGGGATCTGATTTAATAACAATGGGGTGGGGCCTGGGTTTCTTTTATCTTTAATAACAATAATAATATAAGTCCCCGGGTAATTCTAAAGTTCAGCCAGTGTGGGAATAAGTGTTTCAGAAAAGATTGTTGATTCATTCCAATCAGTTCATGCCCCTGCATAGCCTGAAGTTGCAGTGTAGGATCCAGGAAGCTAAGCGTCCTGGAGACAAGACATAGCACTAGTACAGGATGCCAGCTCTCAGAAGGTGTTCCCCAGAGTGCCATGGTACATTGAATTAGTACAATGTTTTGCCAACTCTAGTCATGCCTACATCACCTTTCTGCCATTTGCCACCCCTGCATTTTATCTGAACCATTCTTTACTCTCTGTTGCCCGTTAAATATAGTTGTTGTTGTTGATTTTACACTCATTAAGGGAGTTTAAACTTCACATCTCCACCAGCAACATCTTTCACCAAAATAGAAGTTACCCCTAATGCAAAATCAATGAAATCCCCTTTAAAAAAAAAAAAAACAAAAACCAAAAAAGTCTAGCCTGATCCTTGTCTTTCCAAACTTCTTAAACTGGAAATCTGTGTTATCTTGATTGAAAACAGATTAGCAAGTGTTCAATATAAAAGAGCGACCAGTGCCAAGCAGACGTTCTCAGATTGAGAAGGAAGGAGAAGGGAGTAACTCTTCATTGTGGGATTCAATGTTGTTTAATAGCTTAGCTACTTTGCTGCACAGCACATAGGTGCCACCGTGTTCTGCATCCTGCTGGTGGAGCCCGGGTCCTCTCTGTTGATAACATGGGATAAAAGAACACCCTTTGGTTGGCATTGCCAAATACAAGCTTTTTCTCTGCCTCGGTTGCCTACAAGCAAGGCTGGAGTTGAGTGGGGCTGCTCTTGGGGGGAGGCTGTTTGGGTGGATTGAGGTCAGGGACACGTGTGAGGTGGGGAAACACGTGGGGACGTTAAAATGATTAAGCAGCACTTCGCAAGCACCGACAACCACATGTTGTCGCTGATGAGTAGGGTGGGAAAGTTAAGTTTCCTGTAGCCCAGAAGAATTGTCAAGAAAACAGTTGCAGAACGAGTCGCAGCCAAGGTGACAGGTGGGTGGGTTGGGAGGTGTCTGGGTCAGGCAGGTGAGACCTCATTTGGGAAGTGTCCCTGAGGGTAGTGAGGAGTGGACCCAGGTGAAACTCCATGGTGACCACCGTGCGACATCACCTGAATCACACTGCCATCAAAGACTTCCTTGACTTTATAGTTAACAATGTGGGGTGTGTCTGATTCCAATGGAACAGACTCTTTTGGCAGAGGTCTCTGAGCTGAACTGAGCTGGAGTGTGGGGGAGGGGTTGTGAAAAATGCACATTGCTCCTAATCTCTCATCTGGAAGTTTCTGGTTTTGGAGATTGAGGATGATTGTGCTCAGCCAGGGGCAGTCCTAGTGGACCTGAAGACAGTGTTTGCTGTCATAGTTGAAGTGGGGGTAAAAGCCAGGGATGCTGCCAAACACCCTGCAAGGCATAGGACAAAGCTTATCTGGCCCAAGACACCAGCCGCTTAGCAGGGCTTGTTGGTAAGATGCCCAAGATGCCAGGGCTTGTTGATGGGCAAGAGCCAGGCATGTGAGTCTTAACAATGGTAGAAAATAGTAGAAAATCAGAATCCAGGTTGGGGAGACTTTTTTTTTTTTTTTTCTGCTGAGGGCCCATTCAAGGGCCATACAAAATGATCAGCTCAGAAATTAGCCTGCTGTGGCTTTACCAATTCTTTGAGTCCTGTCTGTGGGTCTTGGCATGGCCAGACCCACTGACTTGGTGGCCTCGTACAGCCCATAAGCAGGATACTCCCCCCCATAAGACAATGCCCAACCCCTCTTCTACATTTAGAACTCATCTTTGGCTTGGTCCCCTGATAGTACCCCACTTGGGACCACTCTTCTTTCCTGCGAGTCCAGATGACTGGCTTCCCTGAGTCCCCCTCCCATTGTAGCCTGCATATCTCACCCTCCTCGAATCTGTTCCTTCTGTTCACACATATGCCCCCAGACACCTCCCAGAAGCCTGACCCACATGGGACTCAACAATCATAGGAGTGGCAATCATCTGGAACAGTCTCTCGACACCCCATTTTAACATTCAAAATTATTCTGTTGATTTGTTTGCTTCTCAATCATTAGCAGGTGTCTTACTGGGCACTTCCTCAATGTCTTAGATTCTGTCTACATAGAGTAGATACAGTGGAACAAAAGACTTGCAGTTCCCTCTTTCCAACAGAGCTTAGCTGCTAGAGGGAAATCTCAGACAATTAGGGAAATAGAAAACTGTATGTAACATGTGCCTCGAGGAAGTCCAGTGGGGGAAATAAAATAGAGCAATGGGATAGGAGTGCAGAGTGTGTGTTTAAATTTTTAAATAAGATGGAGTGCTGCGAGAAGGTGGCATCAGGCAGAGATGGGATGGCCGGGGTGGCGTCTTCACTTCTTGCATTAGCATAGAGTCACCAGAACAGGCACACAGTAGGTGCCCAATAATTACATTAAATGAATACAAGAAAGAACATGTGATCAGATGATCAAAGGGTGAAGGGGGTTAATTTTATGACCATCTACTGCTGAACAAGAGGGTAAAAAGGCAGGGGTTTTTCGGGTGATGGGTTGGGGCAAGACATAGGAGGTGGACAGCATCCTTGCATAAGGTCCCCGCCCCCTTCCCTGCTCCAGGCAGACCTAGGAGCCCCTCCTGACTCTGCTGATGGTCCTCGCTGGTCAGTCACCCTGGCCAGCTTCCCAGCTTGTGAGTTCAGCCATCACCCCGCCCCCGCTCCTCCGGAGTCCCTTCACTTTTCACCTCCCACTCCAACACTTCCCCGCACCCCGCCTCCTCCCCAGGGGGTCTGGACGCCTAGTGGGCACACACGGCCCCTGGGCCGAGCCCTCTCCCCGGCGGGACACTGTCCCTTTAATAGATTCCCTCAGCCTGGCGCTGTGCGGCTGGGGAGTAAATTTCTCCCTGTCATCAGGTCGCGGGAGAGGAGGAGGAGGAGGAGTTTGTTAATGTTCAGTTTGTTCAGCGGGATCGATGTTTGCTGGCATCGCCTCGCCCTGTCTTGTGTGAGTGTGAGTGTGTGTGCGCGTGTGTGCGCGCATGTGGGGGTGTGCGTGTGTGCGGGAGGCGGCGGGTGCGCGCGTGTGTGCGCGCGCGCGTGTGTGAGTGTGTGTGAGAGTGTGTGTGTGAGTGTGTGTGTGAGTGTGTGTGTGTGTGTGAGAGAGTGAATTCCAGATTTTCTGCCTTTCCCAAACCCGCTCCTGTCCTCTCGCACATCACTCACAGACGGGGATCTGACAGCAGCTACAAACCCACCGTGAGTGATCTCGCCCTGCGCGAATCCGCCATAGAGATCGGCGAGGAGGAGGAGGAAGAGGTGAAGGAGGAGGGAAAGAGGAGAAGGAAGAAGAAGAGAAAAAGAAGAAACCACTACCTTCCCAGGATTGCCTTTTTCCCCTTATCTTTACGCGCGCGTGTGCGTGTGGCGCGTGTGCGCCCCTCGTCCCTTCCATCTGAATCCGGTCTTGGATGTTTAATAAAGAAATCAAGTGTCTCAACAGTCACCAAAAAAAAAGCAAAATCAAAAAAAAATTTCCAAAAGCAAAAACAAAAAGAGGAAAAAAAATCCAAAACAAACAAACAAACAAGACAGAACCAACCTCCACTTCCAACCAGCCGGCACCAGCCACCCGTGTCTGCCACCCACAGAGGGGGGTCTCTGGCCCGTGCCGCAGGAGTTGCAGGGGGGATCGGCAGGGGGACAGAGGCCGAGTGACGTCCTAGGAGCCACCGGGCGAGAGGCGGAGGAGACCCAGAGAGGCGAGAGGGACAGCGGGCCCCAGCGCGCGGCTCGGGGCTGGGGCGCCAGAAGTGGGACTGGAGCGAAGTAGAGCGATGCCAAGAAGGAAACAGCAGGCACCCAAGCGGGCGGCAGGTAAGAGAACCGGCTCCGCTTTGCGGCTGCCCGGCCCGGGCTACCTCGCGCGCCGAGCTCCCCGCCCGCCCTCCTTGCCCCCGGGCGCCCCGGGACGCCACCCCCTTCATGTTTCGGGGGAGTTTGCTCCGGGTGCCCCTCTAATAACCCCATCCTCTCTTGCCTTCTCTGATCTCCCACATCCTCCCCTTGCCAGGCTCTGGTTGGACGGGTGGGGGGAAGCTATCCCACCAAGCCTTCCCTCCTTAAACTTTTTTCCTCCACCCTCCACCCCACCCCTAACTTTCTCCCAGTCTGTTCCTTGCCTGGAGCCAAAGCCAGGTTGAGGATTTGGGGTGTGAAGTATGGTGACGGCCCCTCCAATTCCACATCCCTCTTCGCGGTCAGTGCCTGCTAGCGGCCTCTGGTCTCCAGGGATCCAGTGTGTTCTCAATGGGCTCTGGGCGCTGAGGTGCTGGGCTAGCTGGATCACTGGGCTGCGGGCTGGCTGCCTTTGGGGCCAGCAATAGGAGTACAGCTTTGGTTGGAAAACGCTGCCCACCCAATGAAGAACCTTTGAACGTGTATTCGGAGAGTAGAGCCGCTTTCGGAAATGGAAGGGACAAATGTCCCTTGTCTTTAAAGAGGGAGGGGGCAGGAAATGTCCTTAGAAATTTGAGCAGCTCAGGATTTTCGGTGCCCAGAAGAGTTCGAACTTTGTGGACTGATGCGTGTGGTAGGCACTGTCCCGTCTGAATCTTCCTTTGCTCCCCCATCCCAGATAATAACAGGTTAATGGAGCAGTACAATAGGTCTTCCGTGGGAATTTTTTTTTCTTTTGGGTTGCTTAATTGCTTTTTAAATAGTATGCTGGGGTTTTGTTTCTCGGAAGTGTAATATGAAAGTTCATTTTTCTCCTGCCAGACCCACCCACTGAAAAATCAGCTTTCCACTTGATTGCTAGTTTTGATTTGACACTTGATTGATCACCTGTCATCTCGCTGCCTTTGATCTATTCATTCTTGATATATATCAATAAATCACTCACCATGGTAACTCGGAGTGCCAGTGACGCAAGCCTTGCCCTCTATATTCAGAGCCAGACATGCACAATTATTATCTTGTTTGGCTTTTAATGTGGGCGTTTTTATTTCTTTGTGTCCTTTAGTTGAATCAGGGTTTTAGCAAAAACTTGAGTTTTGTTGTTGGTGGAATTTTTTTTTCCTTCTCTTTCTGTCTCTGGCCTGTTTGGGTAACCTTAGTTAAGACACCAGCCCCCCACCCCCACCCCATTCACACTGTTCCAACTCCAAAACACAGGGAGAAATTGGATGGAATTCCTGCATGAACTTTGTGAGTGAGAGGGAATCTAAAGTTACGGAGGGTCTTTATGTGTGAGCGTGCTGGACCCCGATGTTCACCTGCCATCCCCACCTGTCTACAGCCTCCGTGGCAATGCAGGTGCTCTGAAATAGCCTCAGTGATGCTCCCTTCTGAGAACAGAACCATTTGTAGGTAAACATTGGTAGTTACCAAAGCTTCAATGTATATTTTCCAGTTGTTTCCCCAAGAGCAAACCCATTAAAATATTTTAATGCTGTCCATTTGCAACCTGCCCGAGCAGTGGATCTTGCTTTCTTCAACGCCAGCTATTTCTTTTGGAAAGAAATTTTCTTTGACTCCTGGCCCCCTCTGCTACTATCTTGGTTATTTGTGAAAACTTAGACTGCTTTGCAGGCTGACAGTGCTGGGATGTGCAATGGCCTCCGAGCCGCAGGAAGAGCCAGCCTGCTACATCCAGTTCTGGCAACATGAGTTCAAGTACAGCTAGATTATTGGAGATAACATCCTTATTGTTGTCCCGAAAGAGAACCCTGGGCTACCGTCCAGGAAGAAGTGATACTGCCCTGGAAATTACTTTTTCCCCCCCTTGTTGTTCCGGTAAAGGCCATCAACAACTAGGCAGTAATTTCAATTATCAGAATAACTGGACGTGTCTTCTTCCCTAAGCTCGCTACAAAAAGTGCATTGCTCAGAATTGCAATACTTTGGTTATAATTATCCTCTGATCAGTGTCGATTCAGGTGTACGTAACATAACGCTGTGTCACATTATTTAAATTAGATGCTTTTCATTAAGCTGGTGTCTAGGGGTCCTGAGTCGTCTGCTCTAAGTGAGACCGCAGGAACTTATGGCTGTACTTTCAGTTTTCCGGCCTATTGTATTCCTGATATTTTTTGTTTGTTTTGTTTTTGTTTTAATCTGTTTGTTTTTATGACTTTCAGTACATTCATGGAAGAAGTGAAAGGCAGTGATTTCGTGTGTACACAGGGAGGCCCCTCTTATGGTATATATCTGCCCATGTGTTAATAAAACAGAATTTCTCAGGCAGGCAGTGTTTTCTTCACTCATCCAAGGTCATCAGTACCCTGCTCTGTCTTCAGCTGGGGTGCTTATTCACCAGCAAAGTTAGCCACTTTGGGATTCTTTAACTGGCTAATATCTGGGAAAGAGGACGAGTGTCGGGTGGTGCTGGGTGGGGGGTGTTCCAAGATTGTGGCCGCACTAACTTTTATCACGGGTTAAAATTAAACACAATGCACAACTGCAAGTAATTACTGCCAGGGACGGATGTTGAAAGCTTGATTTCTGGCTTGATTAATGAATAATGGAAGATAGAGAAAGCCTGGGAGTGAATCAGAGCTGCGGCTCTCCTGGAGTTCTCGTTCCCCCCAGAATGGTTTGAGGCGATTGGATGCCTGTGCGTTATTAGTTTTTTTAAGTCCTGTTGTTTCAAGGAATCAATTACAGAACTTTCTAATAAAGCAAGTTTCCAAATAGAATAAACAGGATGACATTAGAAGCGATGGGAAATTTTCATCTATATCTGTAATATCCTTCTCCCCGGGCGGGGGTGGAGGGGCAGGGATATGAGGTAGGCGATTCACTTGAAGGAAACAGCTAAGTCAGAACATTTCCCTCTGAAATGTTATTCTTCCTGGCTTTATGAAGCCTTGCGATGCCAGCATACTATGTATGACTTAGGGACAAGCGACAAAGTTCAGGAGGCAGCCTAGAGTAGCCGATGGAGTTGTGCATGTGGGAGTGTGTGTACTCTGCTGCCTCGCATGTATGTTTCACTCACCGTTAAAATATAACCACTTTTACCTGGACATATGGCAGGATATTCTACCAGCATCTCCCCCACCCTCAGCCTCACCCCTCATCCATTTCAGGAAAGATAAAGAAGACAGCAAGAAAGTAAAATAAGACAGAATAGTGGTTTGGTTTGTTTGTATTTTGCGGGATGCCGTGTGGTTAAAGATTTAAAATCGTAGACGCGTGTTTTAACTCCTCTGCTCTCTGCAGGCTGTCTCAGTCCCTGTCTATATCCATGCACGATGCATATGTTATTTCACAATCTTTATATTAACGCCAGACAATTGCAGAACACAAAATCTCTTGTGATTGTGTGCGTGTGAATATCTAATAGATATGTAAGTTACTGGATTCTATCCGTACCCGCTCAAAGAGCTCTGGGGTTTCCTTTTTCCTGCCTTCCAGATGCCTTCTGAAAAACCCTGATCTGGGGAGTCTTACAGGAAAGAACAGCTCCCTCAATTTATTTTGTTTATTTAATATGGAGATGAATAATGCAGATTTTGTTTTCATGAATGTCCTTGTGTGGCAGTAAACATTAGACTATTAGCAATCATTACTTAAAAGTTGCAATTTGCACCTTAATAGCACAGGTTATTTACATGGAAACGCATTCAGCAGTGGAGTAGAAATGACCTGAGAGATCTCTCTTGGCACCTTCTGCGAATGATGGCTCTGGATCAGTGGCTGAAGGCCCAAAAATGTCAGCACAGGCGGGGGCGGGCAGCTCAGGGGGCACGTTCACCTTCCCTTTACTACCAAGTGGGACTGCATTCAAGGAAGAGGACAGGAATCAGGGTGGCTAGCAGACCCTAACTCTCTTACTTTGCTTAAACAGCCTTCAGAAAGACCGCCTCTCACACACTTAAATATCTCTTCCTGTACATCCCTGTAGAACCCAGTGAGATTTTAACAAATGAATGGAACACACACAGCACTCTCCTCCACTCCCAGCATGCAAGGAAGCCCCTAGGACCTCAGCAATCCAGACTGCTGTGGCTATTCTTGTTATTTAAGATAGAATCCTGCAAAAAGAAAGAACTGCTAGCTTACGATCGCACAGTCCACACCGTGTTCTGGATGGAAATTGATTGCTTAAGTGGTCCCTTCCCAGTACCTTGCCGATTTCTTTCTCCTGCCTCTCACCTCACCCTGAAAGACCCAGATTGAATGGGACATCTCAAAAGCCCATTTGTTTTAGGCATTTATTGATTTCATTTTTAATCTGCTATATCAGGACAGGATACATTAACCTTAATCAGCAGATTGCAAGTGACAGAGAGTTCTAGTGGAACCAGGTAAGGGGTGAAGCCCTGGGAAACTTCGCACAGCGAAGTCTCCTTCAGGCTTCCTGGCTTGGGTGCTGGAGCTTCTTTGGGGTAGATACATATCCCGGAAATACTCAGCCTTTCCTTCCCTATCACCCTACATGCCTTTCTGTGCCAGTTGGTCTCCCCACTGGATCACTGCCCCCTCGGGGAGGCTTCACCCTGCCCCCCCACCCTGCCAACAAACACCTCCAAGGCCTGTGGAGATGGCTTCCAGAAGCATCCTGACCCGAGGCCCGTGCACCAGCTCAGGTTTTGTTCATTCTGCCTCATCGCAGCTGACTTCTCATTCATCTGTCGGCTTTTCTCCAGCTGGGCTGCTTCTCTTCCGGTAGCTTGAGAATTGTGCTCTCCATGGAGCCTGCTTTAAAGGGGTGGGGTAGGGATTGGCGTGGCTGAGTCTGGCATTATTGAAGGCCACAGAACTGATGCACCTCTGCCCGTCACTGAAACTGAGCTTTGGAAAATCAGCCAAAAGTATAACCCAGGCCCCGCAGCTGCTTTGCCGGGTCTGCAATTAGCAAGCACTGATTC